AAAAGTTTATATTTTGTTGCATATCCACATTAGCTGTAGGCACAATCAGAAGAGTAAGGAAGGCAAAGTTTTAAGATGTCTGATGCTGGAAAAACCTGGAGGTTACCTAAATACTATAATCATATACTGGAAACAAATTCAGTGAATCTATAACTTGTACCAGGCAGCTACGTTTTCGGATCCTCCTTCATTGTTAGGGGCAGTAGGGACTAGAGACATTTTGTGTAATCATGCACCATGCCATGCAAATAGAGAGCAACAAAGTTAAAGAATGTACTCCTAAACTGATAAGTTTGTGTATCAGAGTAACAGGATAGCAGAACTCCTAACATTTCTTTCTGGGAAATGTGTATTTTCTAATACATGCAAGCAATTCCCTTACCAGAAGCAATGTCACTTGTATTTTGTTGTGTCACTGAAGCCATCATCATGTTACGGTGAGCTGCTACTTAAAAAACAACTAACTAGCCTAAATAAAGAGCATCTCAGCACAGCTGGGTCATGAGGATGTTTTTTCCATCTTTGGAATAAAACACAAAGCAGTTTTATTCTATCTTTGCAGACTTGATTTCCATACTCTATTTCGGTCCTGATACTAGTTAAAAATCAGCTTTTGACTTATGGCTGGACTGTTCCACAGCCCAGAATAAACAAAACTGAATGCACGTTGGACATGTACAGGCCTTGCCAAAGGCATAAATTCTATTAAATGAGCCATATTCAATTTAGAATACTCCTGGGCTAAGCAATTCCTATGGGTAGAGCCCTGTGTTGTTTAAGAAATAAAATTCTAGAGTATCATCTTGATGATATAAAATTATCTATTTGACTGAAATGTATTTGGGTGTCTTGTTTATATTGCACCTTTATACCTTTTTTCAGACTGCTCAGTTCAGCTGAGTTTCCCAAACTTTTTCTGCATCCAACCGTATGCTGCCCATTTTGTCTCACCTAGTTGTGTATTACTTTCATTTACCTTATCTTGCATTTTAATGGTTTCACAATTTTCACTGAGCCTAGACAGCATTGTAGTTTTGATAGGGGTAAGGGAAAATCACTTTTATTTTGCGCAGTCAAATAAGTAAGAGACCGTTGCCTGTATTTGCTTCTTGAGGAACAGAACTTGTTTATTGATTGTTTGTGGGTCTTCCCTATTCTGACTTTCAGCCCTATCTCAATCTCAGCTTCCTCTCCTCCTGCAGTTAATTACCGTTCCTAGGTTGTTCTCTCAACTCCTTTCCTCTTTGGGGAGTTATGTTCATTAATATAAAACTCAAACCACATAAGTCTTCCACCCAGATTCCCACAGCTGTTACGTACTTTTTTTTTTCCCTTACTCCTCTCAGCATCTTTCTCTTCCAGCCTTCAACACTGCCTCTTGCTCTCTTTAAACTCCTCTACCCCCATGCAACCTGTCAACAAGCTCTTGAGAGTTGCTCAGACTGAGCCCCTATGATCTTCGTTCTGGCTGCTCCCCGTGTCTCATACGAGGGCTTGGTTCATAGCCCCGTATTCCCATCACCAGTTCCCGTCTTGATTTTCTTCTCCTGAGCCTATGTGTGTCAGAGATGCAGCTCAACCCTCACTTTGCGAACCATCAGTGCACCTGGTGCTGCATTCCTGAGAACAGCAAAACCATTATTTAAATATTTTGAAATGTAGGGATGCAGCCTAATATTTAAAGCTATTGTCCTCTTGTTAACGTAGAGTAACGGTCTGATGGGATAATCTCCCAAGAGGAAAAATGCATACACTATAAAACGTATTAATTAAGCTTCTAGAACATGTAAAAGAAGAATAAAGAAGACTTCAGTGCTTCTGTGCACTGTGAAACAAAGATATCCTGAAGCTAGTGCTGACTCCAGCTAATAAATCCACCCACATGATGCTGCATCTAGATCTGAGCTAGTATGTGAGGGACCAGCTCTGGAACCTCTGCACTTGCCGTACAGTTAATCCATAGCTGGATAAAAATCAGCTGCATTAGATTCAGTAACCTGCTGATCAGCGAGCAGATCTGGCAATCTGTTGTGGATATCTCATGCTTTTTAGTAGTATTTCCAAACGAGTTCTTAGGGACTTTGGCTTTTGAACTCAAAAAGCCAAGTCATGACTGCCGTGTGGTTTAGAAGAATTGGGTAGTCAGTACTTAAAAGTTATGTAAGAAAAAGCTAATTAAATTTTCATTTCATTTGATGAGTTCCTACCAATCTTGTAGAGCAAATATATGCTAGAAATAGGCACTTTGTAGTAATTGTGTTTGCACTGAACCTGTAACTAATATGTATAACCTACAGGTATTGAAAGAAAATGTTTGTCATAATGATGCTTCACAAAAAAATCAAAACTAACATTTGTTAACCCTTCTGAAGGGATGTCAAGTGCTCATGCACAATTCTGCCATTACTCATATATCTCCAGTGTGTCTTGAGTTGAATGCGTTTATCATAGATTAAATAACGAAAGCTTTGACTCAGGTGGTGAATAAGAGCATAACATTATCATAATATTAACTTCACCTTTATCCAAAAAAACTTGGAGTACTAAGTCTGGAAAGAAAGCTGTACATAATTTCTGCTTTATCAGCTAGAGAAAAGAAAACTGTGTTAAGTACATTATGCACATCCTAAATCTTGCATATTCTGGATAAAATACTTGTAGAAAATCTGAAGTAAATGGAAGGACAAACGTGGCAAAAAAGCTCCAATTTAAGTATAGATTTTCAAGGAATTGTAATCTGGATTTTAAAAAATTGATAATTTGTAAATAAAATGCAAAATTCTGCTAAATTTATTTATTTAATAGCTTTGGATGTTCTTTTGTAAAACCTAGTTTTAAAATCAGTTACATCTTCAGTTTATTAAATGTGTAATTAAGTCATTTGAATGGTAATATTGCCTAAGGCCATTTCAGACTTAACCAGAAGGTATTTAGGTGGTGACTGGAACATTTAACGTTTCTGTAGAGAGTTTCAGCAACAAGTACTAAAACTTTATAGTTGACATTTAATATATCTGGTAAGTAGCGCGCTCTGTTTTGAAGAAGTAGCTCTGTGCTTTAAAAAATTGTTAAAACATCATTTTTCCACATCTTGATAGTGCTATTTTAATTATTTTCTCCCAGCAGTGTTATTTCCATATATATAAGTTAGATAGCAAATATATTTTAAGCAATCTAGTACCTTAAATTTGGAGTCAGTGGCTAGTTACTGGCTTTTCCTTCAAGACGTAAAAAAACAGGAGAAAAACTTGATCTTAGTTACATCACTCTGAATCTGGAGTAACTGTGTGGCAGCTCCTAAGCAATATTTGTTTCTTTGATTAAAATCTGATACATGGTGAAGAAAATTTATCATTCATTGCTGCTCTTTATTCCCTTTTTTCTTCTCTATTTTGTATATCCCTGTTAAGATGTTAATTCAGTGTATTTAGAGAATATTTGTCTCATCATTAACAGATTTGTTCATGCTGATTTGAATCGTTGACAGGATTAAAAAAAAACCCGAAACACTTTTTAACGAGTTATTTTGTACATACGATCCGGTATTTAAAAACATCTCAGCAAGGTATACATTTTGCACTTTCTAAATGAGTTGGCAGTGCTTCTATCTAATGATGAGGTAGATGTCTTTGTAAAACAACATTTTAGGGCTGACTGTCACAGTAAATCAAAAATTACTTTCCTGGTTCTGTATATTTTCTTCCCCAGAAGCACTGAAAACATAAATCAGTTGGTAGCTAGCAGCTAATTGCTTAGCACTGACATACTTTAGTCAAGTGGGGGCATCGTTGGTCTTTCACAAATAGGTAATATGGCCAAAAGGATTTACTTGTTAAACTTAAGTGGCTGTGGTATAGTAAATTACTTGCTCTATTTTTATCTTAATTTGGGAACTCTCTAGCTATAAGGTGCATAAACAGCATGTTTGCTGTGTATAGATGCTTTTAATTATATTACATTGAAGAAATAAGTGGGCTCAGTTCTTTCGCTATAATTCAGACTTTGGATTTATGTCAGTCAAATTCTGTCTGTTTAATTACATCTAAGAAGTTTTTAAAGTTACAATTTTTCTGGTGAGATGAGTGCATATTTCTTGAAAACATCAGCTGCAATCAGTACGTTCTCTGCTGAATTTGAGAAACAGCAGACGGTCTGACAAATGCCAAATGCCTGAAATATTTTATTCCATTTTAATTCTTTGTTTGTGCTAACAAAAACGGTACTAAAAGTGTCAAAATACCCTTTTGGGAAACGGTTGTTATTAGCTAATGATACTTGTTAGAAACCACCCTCTGATAACGATTTACAGCCGAAATTCCTTTTCCACGTAGAAAAACTAAAGCCTGGAAGAGGAAGCTCTTTGGGTATGGTTGGAAGTGGCTGTTTAGAAACACCGTGCCATAATTAACCTTTATGCGATCACGCACTTAAACAGGAAGAGCGCAGCCGAAAACTTTACGCTGGAGCTTATATGAGATGGATGCATTAATCGTATGTCGCAGATGCAGTGACTTTGATCCCCACACTGCTATGGTAGATCGCAACTCGTGGTAAACTCTGCCCCTGCTATGCCTGGCTTTTGATCCAGTCGCAGCATTATCTTCATTAAAAGCAAAAGGGCTTGTGGGGATGCTTTTCCATGGCTGCATTTTGGGAAATCTTTTCAAGGGTGTGTATCACGGGCTGTGTAGGACTGTGCCTTAAGTATTTCAGCACGGTGTTTCCACTGGTACGATTCTTGGCCTGTTCTCCTATGTAGATCTGGAATCCCGTATATCTATATCCTTTGGAGACAAGTGCCAAGGGCAACGACTGGAGATAATAACTTGCGATTTGTGTCTTTTGCAAGTTACAGTCATTGTAAACTGACAGCTGTGAAGAACCTAAACTCACATCAAAGGATACAGATCATCTAGTTAGGTCAATTAATGTTAATTCTCATCTTCCATTAAATTCTTTTATCTTCTTCTCCTTTTTCTTTTCTTTTTTTTTTTTTGCAGCCAAGCCCAATACCAAGTCCTGTTTTGGGGAGAAAGCCAAACGCTAGTCAGTCACTGCTTGTGTGGTGCAAAGAAGTTACAAAAAACTATAGGGGAGTGAAAATCACCAATTTTACTACATCGTGGAGAAACGGTTTATCCTTTTGTGCAATATTACATCACTTTAGACCAGACCTAATGTAAGTTGTATACTCTCTGTCTGCGTAAGCTAACTCTCCTAGAAATGTGCAACATTTAAGTTTATGTAAAAATCAAATCCCTGTTCATTTTGGGTGTTGAACTGTTTTCACCCTTTTTTTTCAAGCAGGGAACCATTCTTTCTAAGAAAACAGATTTATTAATGCTCAAACTTTATGACCTCTTTGCTCTCCCTTGTTGCATAAACAATTGTTTCTCCCCTCTCTGTGATTTGTTTTTCTTCTTCTTAATCTTATACAAAGAACTGACTTCAAGATGATTATGAAAATTGTGCCAGTGTTGAAATGACATGAGAGGAATAAGCCTGTAGCTCTTTGTACGCTGACAAGGACGGATTACCTCCTGGTAAATTTGGTTGTCAAGGCCGGCCTCTAGTCCCTGCCTTAACTTCTTTTTTAGATGGAAAGCTTCAGGCAATGAAACATGTAATCAGTGTTTGTTTATTTATTTATTTATTCCTTTAATTTTCCACACTATTAGTTTTGTTGATTGAATTGCTGGGAAATTGCTAGTTACTGTATGATATTATTGTATGTCAAATTTTTAGATTCAGTTTGTTTTAAAACTGCTGCTTTTATCAAATACTGTACATACCCACTGTGCCATTTTCCCCCTCAGTGACTACAAGTTCCTGAATCCTCAAGATATTAAAGAGAACAACAAAAAGGTAAGAACTGCCGGAAAAAAAAAGACATATCTTCAATTTTGGCTTCACTGCAGGTTTTTATTAATTTTGGGAAAGTGGGGTTGTTTCGTAAGGTCATAACTGCGGCTCACAGAAGGTATTCAACCTCCCACGGTTCAAATCGGATGCATTATTGACTCTAGTTTGTCATGGTCTTTAACATTCACAACAAGCGCAAGGCCGGCATTAGAGTTTAATATTTGTATGGCCTACATTAACTGTGAAAGCGGAGGAAAGGGCTGGTCAGCCTTCTGTGATCACTCCTCTCATTTTTCCAATCAGCCATGCAATTAAAAAAAAATGAAAATCGTAACTGCTCTTGGTTTGTCGTATGGAAGACTTTGCTTTCTGTTGCTTTAACGGGGCTCCGTGCATCGGTTGCGGTCGATGTTGCTTTGATGGTGATTTTTATATTTTTAAAGATGAAATTTTACACCTACTTTTATACTGCACAGCTGAGTGAAGTAGTGGATGCAACATGGAAAGTTTAGGATAAAAAGTGTTGAGGCAATACTTTGCAAATAAACTGAAATATTAGCAAAATAGTTTATAACATTGTGCTGAGCAGCTGTTTTAAACCATTCTTTGTACCTTTGTGATGCAAAAACGTAAAACGTTTCTCTGGAAGATACAGGAACTCAGTTTGGGAATCACCAGAAGATTTTTTTTATTTCTGCTCACTATTTTAGACATGTTACAAACTTCGGTTGAGCCCTAGGGACATGTTTAGAAATTATAATTTTCATGTGAGTCACTGATAATAAAATTGTTCCTGAAGGTCATCTGAAAATTGTTTTTAAGTAGCTGCCTTCTCACTGCTGTGATTTTATTTTTATACCGCTTTAAAAACACTAAATTGAATTGGGATGAAGGTGTAAAAATATACTTTGACTAAATTAATTAGGTTCAGTATTATACAGCAAATATAAATAAAGAGTATTAGATTGTAGTAGATATGTGGAATTTCTGAAAGCACTTTATTAAAATTCATTTGTGTTTAGGGTAATTACATTTTAATGTGCCTGCACACTTATGTGTTAGCCAGGGAGTTACTTGTCTTTAAAATAGTACTTAAGTATTAAAAATAATGAAATATCTCTGCACTACTGTTATCTAATGAGTGATTTGGCCAATGATATCTTTTTCATAATAATACAGGGTCTTATGATGACCTAAGTGGATTATCCATGACATCACAGTGTTTTCTGTGACCATATGTTTTTGTACTTCAAGTTTCATTGAATGTCCAGGCTAATTAAGCCGGATTATAAAAAAGAAAGACTAGTTTATTAATTAAAAACGTTAGTGGTACGATCAGTCATCTTTTCTTTATGAAACTGTGATGGCAAATGGTGAACTTTTTAGCCCGTCTCTCTAACAGGATATAGTTCCCAGGATTGAAGAAGTAATGATTGTTGTTATTGTGCAGTTTTTTTCTTTCATCACTTTGCAAGCCTTCACCTGACAGCTACATTGAGTATCTCAGTTGCTTCCTGCAGATTTATTTCCTGGTCTCACACAGTTCTGCCTGATAACCCCGCGTGCCCTTGCTTGAGTGAATGCAGCACTGGCAACAATGGCTGCCTATAAATTCCATGCAGATATGTAACACATTTGACAATGATTCCACCTAACCAATTAAAATAACATCTATGGATGAATAGGACAATTTTCTTTGTCTGAAGCATCTCTTCCCC